ATGTGCAATTGGCACAATCGACACTCTCTAACATTGTAGACCATAATTAGAAAACTCAATATTTATTAACATTCCTTGAATACATAAAGTTACCACAATATCTTTTTATCGATTTACAGCTTGGCATATTGTATAGACACCTGTCTTTTGTTGAAGACTTTATATTTACCCTCTTTAAATACTTTTACATTTTTGTTGTTGAGTTGCTGTCTCATGGATATATGTAGTCTTTGTGGTATATTGCTTGTAGTGTTTTTCTAGACTGAAATTTGCTTCAAACTTTTTTTTCATTGAAGTCTACCTATTATTCATACAGCTTCACCTGGTGAAAACCATTTGACAACATTATTATTACATCAGATTGACATTTAGTAAGTTTAGCTAGGTGAAAATTTTGTACGACAGAGGATTTCAACATTCTAACAGAATCTCACAACCAATGCCAGACAATCTCAACCTGACAGACTTCATATCATATTCAGCTTAATAAGCTTATACTCCTAATGAAATCTTAATACTGTATGCTGAAGAATGCTAGCTGCATGCGGATATACTGATATAACGTTAATTAGCTTTATTGATAATCTTACTATAATTTTGTCAAAAAATTACTGTACTGAATCTATTGGAGAGCAAAGTCATTTCGGTGTCATTTTAAATAACGTTGGTTCGTGTAGTAAAGAAGAGAAGTCCTTGTTTAATTATCTATGGCATGACATTTTCCAATTTGATTTAAAAAAAATCAGATTTTCAATAAATTAATTAAAAAGTCGACATTTATACCAGAAAAGCACACCAAGTTCAAGGAAAGATTTTTCTCCTTTAATAAATTAGATCACAGTAAAACAATCCAGAAACAAAGTAACTACGGTCAATGGAAGAATTTCCCGCGCAAATGCCATGTTTTAAACGGGATAAACCAAAAAGATTTTTAGGTCAATGTTGTCGTTCACATTCGGATCAATTTACACAGTAAAATAAAATATAAATGTCAACTATATACATAATGGTTTTGAATTTAGTCCTTTTATCAGAAAAATGATTTATTCTCGCAAACAACTCTAAATAATATGCATTAACTCGGCTCTGAATTAAAAAAAAAACCTACAATAGAACGGTATATGGAATCGTCCGAAACAGGTTTTCCTAACATTGATAAAGGTGAAATACGTAGATTCCGAGAATTGTGCACAAAGAAATAAGATCAGAGATAAAGTCCTATGTAAAGTGAAAACCAAAAAGCATCCGAACTGAATAATCGTTTATTAAATTTGTTTGCACGAAAACCTTGGAGTTGAAACCCTATGACATTTACGAAAACCTTGGAGTTGAAACCCTATGACATTTGTCATTTCGGGGCCTCTTGTAGCTGACTATGCGGTATGGGCTTTGCTAATTTTTGAAGGCAATCATACCACATCTTCTTTTTCATAAAGACATAATTTTAATGTAAATATGAACTCTTCGCTTCACTCATAATTTCATGTAGCAGCCCTATATCCTAGAATCCCAGATATAATATATTCAATATTCTAGATTAAGATGTTAATATAAATTACTGTATAAACACAGAAAGTTTCGACGAAAACAAAATGAGTCGTCTCTTTTAACGTTAAGTTTAATTCTGACATTTATTGTGTATTCCTAAATAACTACAGTACATGTATGTTTCATAAGAATCCGTATTTTAGTTTGGTTTACAACAATTGCGCTGCATACAATATGCTTTGGTCAACGTTAACGCTTTCAAACCCCCCAATAAAATTACAAAAACAAATATTTATTACTAGTACAAAAATGGACATAGCGGAATGTAAAAGTAAAGAAAAATGTATTTTTTTTCCCAGATTAATTTTTTTAGATGCCTAGTATGACATCTGTCTCATATATATAATAATAATTTAACAACTCGAGGAAAAGCAACACAATTAGATTCATTACCAAACTATCATTTACAATGAGAAACACGACGGGTGCCACATGTAGAGCATGATCTGCTCACCCTTTCGGAGCACTTGAGATCATCCCCAGTTTTTGGTGGGGTTCGTGTTGCTCAGTCTTTAGTTTTCTTTGTTGTGTTTTGTGTACTGTTGTTTGTCTGTTTGTCTAATTGTTTGTTGGTCTTTTTCTTTTTTAGCCATGACATTGTCAGTTTTTTTTTCGCCGCTTAAGAGTTTGAATGTCTCTTCGCCTCTCTTTTACAAACCTCATTTTAAAGAAGTTTGAAAAAAAAATGTTCCAACTTGTATAACTTAATGTATGGCCAACGTATATATACAGACATATCTTTTAGGAAAAACAAATTATACTTTGTAAAGAACAGAAAGTTTTCTTTAACGGTCATCACCAAAATACTTGATTCTTAAACTGAGAACAAAGTTGTTAACTTTATTGGGTGTGGTTTCAACCAAAGTTAATAATTTGCCTTTCCTAAACAAGATGTCTGTGTAAACTTTGGCCATATATAATGTAAATTGTGATATTCTTTTTAAACAGTCCGACTTTAAATTGGGGTTGGTAAATGATGTGTGGTAACCGACCTTTCATTTTTTTTTTAAATATAACTGTTTTAAGCCAACTTGAGTAATTTGGTTATACTGTAGAGACAATGAAAATGCAGTTTTTGATCTACGATAATATAATATAAAATCGACCTGATAATCAGGGAATGTGCATCTACCTCATATACATGGCAATACACTGAAATAGTATTAAATTTCTTCTAAACATTGTGAATTGGATTATTTATTAATTAAGATTTGGCCTTGTAACGGTTGGTGAAGATACCTGTTTGGAATGTGGGTTTTTTTCCAATGAATTGATCGTTTTGTTTCCAATGAGACCAGGTTCTTTCTTGTGACTATGATGAAAAATGTAAATAGACGTCATTTTTGTAAGACGTGAAACCGAAACTTAAAATAAATATATTAACTGTTGACACAGAAATATGTCTCGTCTTTTTGTAATATAATTGATAATATGATGCAAATGTTGAATCTAAATGGCAATATTTAAACGTGTAAACTATGTTTGTTCAAAAATACTCTTTCAATCTCATAAAAAAAATATAGCAGTTAGCTTAATGTGTACATTTCGAGTTTACAACAGCATTATGTTGGGTTTTTTTATTAACTCATAAGTAATATAAACATATTTATTTTATATTGTACACAACGAAAAGAACACTTTACAATATATAACAGCTGATACTTTCCATAGACTTTGTGACTGGATTGCCAGTTTCCATATAGAAGTTCTGTTATTATTTCTTTTTACTCCGGCGTCCTCCGCCAGTAAAAACTGGTCGCCATGATACAAACAAGAATTTCAGAACGGTAGCGTCAAAGCCAACAAACAATCAACTTGCTCTTACAATTTACAGTTCAGGAACTCGTTATGAAATGTTTTGATAGAGCGATTTGAACTTTTTCTGGAGTTTGAAAATCGTGGATACGCTACGCAAGGATTTTGTATAGTATTAAGACTACAATACAAATTCTTTTTACAACAGAATGAATTGATGAATGATATCTCAAATGAATGTGACCAAGTATACACCCTTTATAAATATAGGGAAATTGCTACGTAAAAGAGACTAAAAAGGATGTAATTCACATTATGTTTACAATTAAAAGGCTCTTAACATCGAAAGAGCCTGAATCTTTCACCCGTCAATAATTTAACTTGAATTGCTGATAATGTTTTGCTGTTTACAGTTTCTATCTATTTATATTCAAGATAAAAGGCATACATTTAAAAAAAAAAGAGTCAAACAGCCATTTAAGGGCAATAACTCTTAGAAAGAGTTATCCAAAAGTTTTAGTCATTTTTGAAGATCACGTCAGAAACACATAATATATGTCTCTAATCACGTATTGCCGATACATTTTCCAACCAATAAAGCTTATTTCCACAAATAGTAAAATACCAAAATTCGAAAAAATAGTCTAATAGGCATCCAACCTATGTTGCCTTTTGTTTAAGAAGGAATTATTTTCTATTGTCTTGAATTTTAAACTCCTGTTATGTATTAAGCCCTCTCCCTTTTGCTGGAAAAAAAGTATGGAACTATACAAACATAACTATTAAATCACATAAAAAAGTTATCAAAATACCATAAACACGAGCTGTTCGGGTTTTAGTCATGGCATGTTTGCTGTACAGAATAAAGAGAAATATTGAACCAGTAATTCCCTAGGTCTTTATTACAATGAACCTCAATGCAGGCGTAGTCATCTAAACAACAACTAGAATACTCTGGATTTTTTTACAGATCAAAGTATCTTTCAAGAATTTTAAGTTTCAGGATTACCAATAGTTATGATCATTTTATTTTGAGTCCTGATATAGGGGTGGCAGGGGTTTATTATATTAAGTTTACAAGTATATGCCTAAAAGGTCATGAAGAGGAAATTGCCTATACAAAGTTAGGAATACCCAATTTTTGGTGGGGTTCATGTTGGTCAGTCTTTAGTTTTCTATGATGTGTTTTATGTACCTTTGTTTGTCTGATGGTCATTTTCTTTTTTAACCATGGCGTTTCTGTCAGTTTATTTTCGACTTATGAGTTTGAATGTACCTCTAGTATCAGTTGCCTTTCTCTGATGAGCTAGGCATGTAGAGAAAATCTTGCCTTTTAATTCTTTTTGCCAATCAAAAAATATGTACAAATGTAATTCACTCCTTATTCTATCTTGGCCGTTAATCTGATTCAACTTGTGGAGTTTGTGACCTTGACTGGGGATATGCATAGGGTTGGCGGGGTTTGTTTTATTACGTTTACAAGTATATGCATAAAAGGTCATGAAGAGGAATCAGCCTACACAAAGTTAGGAATATATCTGTTATTTTTTAAGTGTCCCATTCTTTGTTGGGTAATGTTTGTTATGGCAAATCATTTTTTAATGGCCCTTGCAATGACAGTAGTTTATTCTGGCAGTTCACAAGTTGTATGATGGAAAGCATTTCTCTTAATTCTGATCTAAGTTTAATTCCACTGACTGGTTGATTTTTATTTATTTTTTTTCATAATAAACATGTGATTCATTTAACCCTAGTTCTTTATTGGTCAAATACAATATTTGCTCTCCTCTAGATTTTGATATTGTAATGTCGTGAAAAAGTGTGACCATGTCTATCGACATCAAATAGAAATAAACATTTTTTCAGTTCATTGGATTTGACTTCATATCGTTGAAAAAAATACCATTAGAAAAACAGATTCCACCTTTTCATGCAATACAGATATTAACGACACCAATGTAAAGATTCTTACCTAACAAGCCTGCCATATTTTCGAAGCTAAGATGCATCACTCTTAATTGGTAAATTTTTTAAAATATTTGGCAAAAGAAGCCAAATACCTTATTACATTTCGTTTCATTAAGGGAAAACGATATTTTATCTTACCATAAGGTTGAGAAATAAAATCTTTTATACAGTATACAAAAGTAATGAATGTCACCAACACACTGCTAACAAACTTAGCTTGGAGTAGCTGATAATATTCAATATTGAGTCAAAACATATGAAACCAATTCATGAGTTTAATCAACTTCATTGGAGATTTCTGTTGTTTTTTTTTAAGTTTCTGAAAAATTTGAGAGTTTGAACATTTGCATGAGAGCTTAAGCAAAATATGTTTAATTCGTGAGTATTGTGTCACATGTGTGACAGCTGACAGTGTTGAATTTTTTATTTTTATTTGAAATGAATAGGACCATTTAGTCAATTATCGACTTCGTTTGTTGAAACTATTACACACATCTCAATCAAAATACAGGACCATTTGGACTAGTGTTTGACTGACTAATTCATACTGTGTTATGACAACACACTGATGCTATCAACAGTTGTCCATTTGTTATAAAACATTTATCATTCCTAAATTGCACAATGGGATTTAATAATTTATGAAGTCAAAAATATTCTCTTTCTTAACATTTTCATTTAAATGTGGGGACTTATTTTCAACAAAAGTAACAATGTAAATAACATTATCAACAATAAAAAACAAATTAATAATATCAGCACAGTAATAACAATTATGACCAGTAAATTTTAGAAGATCTTTCTATTTGACGTCTACATGTTGGACATGATGCTCTTTGATTTTGTGGTGAATTTTGCTGAAGTCTCATTGCACATTGTTCACAACAAAAGACATGGCCACATGGAAAAAACACCATATTTCTGACTTCTGCACAGCATATACCACATATCTGTGTATTCCTTGATTTTACGTCTTCTAATTCTGAAATATATCAAAGCAACCATTTTAAGACAAATGATACTATGAATCCTGATCATAAATAGATAAAATGTAAGTGAAACTATAGGTTCCAAGGAGCATGAATTGCTAACCTTGGATTTCAGGGAATACTGATACCAATTTCGGTTTTTCTCAGAATGCAATTTCCATTTGAATTGACAGTTCTTTCTGTATCTCTTAGAATATTGGAGACATAATTTAACAATTTTATTCAAGTGACATCAAGGTCAATGCATTATTTGATCGTTTATTGAAATCAACCCCAAAAAAATATTAAATATTATTATTTCATCATGTTTATTTTTTCATAACATTTTTTGCAGTTGTTATAAACTTTATCATTATAGTTAGCATCAAGATATGATCTGTTATTTTGCATTTGAAAGAATTAACATTTGTAATTTATTGTAACGATAAAGGCAAATTGTTCCACAGGATGGTCAAGAATACATAAAAGATTTCTTGAACAATTCAATTTTGGGTTTAAGGAGTATGAGGTTTCCTTGAACAGCATTTAAAAACAAGAATGTGTCCATAGTACACGGATGCCCCACTCGCACTATCACTTTCTATGTTCAGTGGACCTTGAAATTGGGGTCAAAACTCTAATTTGGAATTAAAATTAGAAAGATCATATCAAAGGGAACATGTGTACTAAGTTTCAAATTGATTGGACTTCAACTTCATCATAAACTACCTTGACCAAAAACTTTAACCTGAAGCGGGGCGGACAAATGGGCGGACGAATGAATGAACAGATGCACAGACGGAAAAACATAATGACCCTCTACTATCGTAGGTGGGGCATAAAAATGAGGATATATCAAAGTGATTTAAAACTCCTGGACATACCCTGAATTATTAAACTCTGTTGCAAGGACAAATTGGTGAAAAACATACGAAGGAAGTTGTCATTCATAGCATGCCAAAACATTCGGTTGCTAAAAAAAAAAAAGGTAGTACCATAGTTTAATGCAAGCTGTTTTCTTTCAAGATTTTCAATCTCCATGTCACGCTTTTCAATCTCCATGTCACGCTTTTCAATCTTCTTATCACGCTTTTTCAATTCCTCTTCATACTCTTCCATAATCATCAAAACTCCATATATCTGCACTGCATTGGGTTCGTTTTTTGATTCTACATGTATGTCATATTCTGCAGAATATAATATCAAATGCTATTATATATATATGGTACAATTCTAATTTATAAAATGAAATCACAGCCTTAGCAAATAAAATGTTGATTATCTCCCTTTTACTTGCTAAATACTTGTTAAAAACAAACACTCATGATTTATAACATGCTTGCTTTGTTGCTTTATTTTCTATTAATAACCGGAGATTATGGATGAATGTCAATCACTAGCAACACTATTATATCCAAGTTTCAAAGAAACATACATTAACATGTTAGCATGCCATTTTAAACATAAAATTGAGAATGGAATGGAAATGCCATTTTAAACAGTATTTATTATGAGTTTGTGATGTTATAACATTTATTTTGACATTTTCACCTTTACCAGGTTTTTTCCAACTAAATGTTGAGGGGAGCTCCACTCTTCCTCCTCACATAACACATTTTAAAATTCTCTTTGAGTTTAAATATAATCTTCAATTTGATGGATGGAATTCAAAATTGTCTTCATTTGAAAAAAATGTTTAAAAAGAAAATAACCACCTATCTTTCAAAGTAAAAATATATATAATTCAAAATAAGATTTATGTATATCTACCAGAACAAAGCGCATCCAGAATTTTTTCCACATGCTTTTTTTTGTTTGGGCCAGCGGCTATTTCCAAAACTGCTCTTGTAGCTGTAGATACTGTAAAGAAATTAGAGTTAGGTGACAAGTGATTCTTTTACTATGAACAAAAAAAGACTGTCCACCCCAGAGGTTTCCAATTGTTTAAAAACAAATACTTGTACTCATCAGTACAATCATATGTAGTATTGTTACCAGAAGTATCTAGAAAATAAATTTGGTCAAGCATTTTCAAGGAATTGTGGATAGATAAACAAACACTGATATAGACAGAAATGACCCAAGTTAAGATTTTGATATTGATACTGAATGTGCAAACTTCTTTTGTTGTATAAGAATCTTTGTAAGTTTGGATAAATTCTGACAAGATATTTTCAAGAAGATGCAAAAAATATTAGTTGTGATGCAGATGAAGACAATGGGGAAAGATGACAGAAATAATTCCTACGTATTTCTTCAGCTTTGCTGTCAGGCTACATGCTTCACAATGTACTTAGCCAAGTTTATAGGATAATTTAGGCCAAATTTATGGGTAAATGTATAATGCATCTGAAACAAAATATCAATACTACCAATCATTTTTAACCATAGATGACTTCCATCAATGAATACTATTTTATGAAAGATTCGAAACTTATATTTACCAAGGTATGGATGAGTATTTCCTCCTGAAATAATGTTTGTTGATCCACTTGTGTTTGTCAAGTCTATATCTAAATCTGTAAGCATCTCATCTGGATATGCTACAGCACCTTCTTAAATATAAGCAAATACATATTCAGTACATTATAGGGTCACAAAGGAACACATATATTATTGCATGACATTTTCCATATCAACCCTAAGATCAGCCTAAGATTCATTTATTTAAAGGTTTTTCTTAAAATTTCAATGATTCCTAAATAATCCCTGTAGCCACATGTGTTTTTTTTTTTCACCTTTCAACAGAGACGATTTGTTTCTAACAATGACCCACATTATGCAGGACTTTTCAAACCAGAAGGGTTTTCAAAATGAATAACCTGGCCTGGTAAGAGCTAAAAATAAATAACCTTTCATAAGACAGGATGAAAATGAATATTTTGCAACAAAATATGGAAGAAACAATTGTGTAAAAAAGTGGAAATAAATTTTTACATGGTAAAGTTGCAAAAAAAATCAGCATGGATAGCAAGAGATTAAAATAGTTGTCCCCTTACCAGTAAAAATATTTCTCATCAAATTTATAAACATAAAGGTGTTCTTGTATTTTTGTGTCTTTAATGGTGCTCTTTTTTGCATTGGTGCTTTTCATAACTTTTAGATTTAAATTTTTTTATTGGTTGTTCCAGAGTTGTGCATCTGGAACACCCAGAAAAGAGCCAATATTTCACATGTCAAACTTGAGTTTGTTTAGATAAGTTTATTACAAACTGTATATAAGTGAATATAATACAAAGCTTACCAAGTTTTTTAGGTACTGGTGATGGCTGCTTAAGAAGAAGTGGCTGAAATATAATTGAATAAACTAATTCATGTATTAAACTTTGAGATAAATACTATGTGACAGGATTGCTTCACTTCAGTAGTAGATACTTAGCCAGTGGTAAGCGGTTGAGCTAAGGAAGTACTTCTTTTAACACACAAGCTGTGTTTTAAAATTTCAATAAGTGCAAGGAATGATCATGAGTTGATATGGGATCCCAATTAAATCATATACTGTTTGAACAATTAGTTTAAGATTCCATTCCTGTTCACCATGTCAAAGTTGATACCCAAAACATAAGAGAGCATAACATCAAATGATTTGACTTTGAATGCACACACAAATATATCATGAGATAGGTTAAATTAGTTTTCTTGGATCCAAATCAGCCCACTATATGTGTGGTCAGAAATGAAATGAAAAAAAAATCTTCAACACATAGTAAATATACTGATTGCTTCCAATGAACTAAGGAAACACCTCAACACAAATAACATGAGATGACACCCACAACATGAATGCTTGCAGGTACTGAAAGCAAGCTCTTGATAACGAAAGGGAATAATAAATGATAATGTTTACTAATATTTTATTTCTTCCATGTCTTCTTGATGTGGCAATGCCAAAAAAAACTAGAGGCTCTCAAGAGCCTGTGTCGCTTACCTGATTCTATTTTGGTTTTGGAAATCATGTAAAAATAGATTAAAATCATAACAGATACCCTAATAATGAGTAAGGCCAAATTTGGTTTAATATTGGTCCTGTAATTTAATAAAAAATCCTGGTGGCCATCTTGAACAGTAAATCGGCAACAAAGTAGCAACACTTCATCAGTACCTCATAAGAAACATTTATGCCATGTTTTGGTTTCATTCCATTCAGTGCACCTCTAGAAGAAGCATTTGTATGTATTTCCCATAGGGTCTTATGTTAAAGGAAGTCCCCCCATTGGCGGCCATCATGGATGAAGGATCAGCTTCAAAGTAACAAAACTTAGTCAGCACCTCATAAGGAACATTCATGCCATGTTTGGTTTCAATCCATTCAGTATGTGGTTCTCTAAAAGAAGACATTTGTATGTATTGTCCATAGGGTCCTTTGTTAAACATTGTCCCCATCTGGTGGCCATCATGGATGAAGGATCAGCTTCAAAGTAACAACACTTGGTCAGCACCTCAAAAGGAACATGCATGCCATGTTTGGTTTCATTCCATTCAATGGTTCTCTAAAAGAAGACATTTGTATGTAATTCCCATAGGGTCCAATGTTAAACTAAGTCCCCTGCTGGCTGCCATCTTGGATTATGGATCGGCTTCATAGTAACAACACTTGGTCAGCACCTCATAAGGAACATTCATACCATGTTTGGTTTCATTCCATTCAGTGGTTCTCTAAAAGAAGACATTTGTATGTATTTCCCATAGGGTTCTATGTTAAACTAAGTCCCCCGCTGGCGGCCATCTTGGATAATGGATCAGCTTCAAAGTAACAACACTTGGTCAGCACCTCATAAGGAACATTCATGCCATGTTTGGTTTCATTCCATTCAGTGGTTCTCTAAAAGAAGACATTTGTATGTATTTCCCATAGGGTCCTATGTAAAACTAAGTCCCCCGCTGGCGGCCATCTTGGATGATGGATCCGCTACAAAGTAACAACACTTGGTCAGCACCTCATAAGGAACATTCATGTCATGTTTGGTTTCATTCCATTCAGTGGTTCTCAAAAAGAAGACATTTGTATGTATGTATTTCCCATAGGGTTCTATGTTAAACTAAGTCCCCCGCTGGCGGCCATCTTGGATGATGGATCCGCTACAAAGTAACAACACTTGGTCAGCACCTCATAAGGAACATTCATGCTATGTTTGGTTTAATTTCATTCAGTGGTTCTCTAGAAGAAGTTCAAAATGTAAAAAGTTAACGACGAAGACAGACGACGACGCCGGACGCCAAGTGATGAGAAAAGCTCACTTGGAACTTCGGGCCAGGTGAGCTAAAAAGAAATATCAAAATTTTTCTGCTTTGTATTTATCTGCTGAGTTAAGCACTATTCAACTGGTTTTTATAGTTTCTTATGTTGTGCTGTTACACTACTGTCCCAGGATAGAGGAGGGTTGAGCGCTCATTAACATGTTTAACCCCGCCACATTTTTTATGTGCCTGTCCCAAGTTAAGAGTGGTTGTTGTTGGTTGTCTGTCATATTTTTTTTTCGTAAATTGTTTGATATACACTAGGCCGTTAATTTTCTCAATTGAATTGTTTCATTATTTCCATGTCGGGGCCTTTTAGAGCCACCCATACTGTATTAGGTTTTTCTCATTGTTGAAGGCTGTACAGCTGCCTATAATTGGTACATCCACTTCATTTGAACTTTGGTGGATAGTTGTCTCATTGGCAATCATACCCCCATCTTCTTATTTTTATATTAGTTCCTTCAAAAGAATGAGTCTATTTATAAAAAAAATATTTAATAATTCGACTTTAGGTTCTTTCTTTCCTTATATATATATATATATATATATATATATATGCGTTTTGTTAAAATATACTTTTTCACTCTTTTTGGTCTTTTGGAAAATGTTGTTTGTGCTGTATTTAGACCACTCTACCAAGAAATTTGTTTTGCATGCACACGTATAAAAATTGCGGTTTTTATCCAACGCAATCATAGGTTTGAACGATGTTTTCAATTTAGACTTGTTTATATTTTTTCGTTTGGGCTTGTATTATATTTGCCTTCGGGTTTATATGATCCGTTCATCCTATTTTGACTCTTCAAAATTTAAGAGTCAATCCCAAACTGAGGTATATTATATGGCCTTCCAAATACCGTTTCGATTCCTAACATCACTGAAGAGACATTAATTGTCGAAATCCGGATATGGTGTACAAATTTTTGCACCTCATGTTTGCGGTATACCATCTTTTCCGCAAGTTTATTGTTTTCTGTTTGGTATTTAATTAATAAATTAAGATCCATTTTTACATCTGGTGATCCGTTTTTTGGCAATCGCCATGACAGTCAGCAGGGTTTAAGAACATCCGTTGTTCGACCTGCTAGTCAAATGCGTTTTGTTAAAATATACTTTTTCACTCTTTTTGGTCTTTTGGAAAATGTTGTTTGTGCTGTATTTAGACCACTCTACCAAGAAATTTGTTTTGCATGCACACGTATAAAAATTGCGGTTTTTATCCAACGCAATCACAGGTTTGAACGTTGTTTTCAATTTAGACTTGTATATATATATATATATATACTAATATATGTTTTTGTGTTCACAAATTTTCCAAAGAGAGGCGAAAGCTACCATAGGGATATTTGAACTCATAAGTCGAAAACAAACTGGCAATGCCATGGAAAAAAAAAACGAAACAAACAAACAACAGTACACCAAACAAAATATATTTTTAAATTTATGGTGTATTTATTCTCTTATGTGTGCCAGTTTGTGTACTAAAATTTTAATAAGAAGCACACCACTTATTCTTGGCCCTCGTTCCTATCCACGTTAAATTGTTCACTTCCAAGCATTATATGGGGAGCGTGATCAATATACTGTTATTTATACATCAGACCATACTGGTTACCAGAACATTTGTTACACCAAACCAGCTACTTCATATCTGAGAAACATGCAATATATGCCCTTTTAGAATTCATTCATACATTTTTGTATCATTCAAAATTATCAGTCATTATGAGTTCTACAAGGATCGCAAGTCCTTCACCTTTCATTTGATCAGATACCTTTATTACTAAAATATATTCTACATAGTTTAATATTCATTCATACAACTTTCAAATTTTATTAGAGTTGTCACCAATGTTTTCATTTCAGGTGGGTTAATTAATCTCAATTATTACAGGGGATTCTGGAATGTTCTTTTTTCACTTTGGAAACAAAACCATGTTCTTATTGCAATAGAACATGGGTCGCACGTGATTAACGTAACAATTGAAATTGCAATGTCAGTTATATTTTGAACAACACCTGAGAACAAAATGGACATTTGTGTTGGTGTATTTAGCAAGGAAATTAAATAAAATCATTCTTAAAGTAAGTTTACATGTATCTGTTCTTTTTAGACCTTGAAACGGTTGATTTTCTATATTGTTTTGACTGCATTAAATCATAATGGCTGGCTTTCGAACATGCATAATAGGCCCGCTTCGAAATACAAAAGTCTTAAACTTTTCTATAAGAATCGAAATAATTCTATCATGCCATGTTCTAAGCACATTTTAACATGGATAGGCATTATGTTTGTCAACGTTTTAGACCTGTATAAAGATATTGACAAATTTAATGCCTACCCATGTTAAAATGATCATCCAGCATGGCATGAAAGAATTATTTCTTAATCTAAATTATTCACTACTACTACTCATTGTTGTTAACCTTTTCTCTTATTAATGTGTTGTGATTTATTTATCACGAGAACTATTATGTACTATTTACCTCTGTAGTGGTCTTGATTATCCAAACGCATTATGATTACTGATTTGTAAAATTCAAGCATCTGGGTAACCAATTTTACCTAGGCCTGTGTAGAAGATAACTGCTCAGATGCTCAACCTACTCAGGCCATTGTTTTTGACCAATAGTCAAAAGATAACCTTATTTCTTATTGATTTTGTTAAAAAAAAAAAGAGAACTATGATGTACTATTTACCATTTTTGTCTCAACAAATTTGCAATCAGGGCTGTGCTTTTTATGCTCCATCCATGGATTCTCATGTGGCTCCCATTGTACCAGGCGTACTCCACAAGAGAAGCACTCCACCACATCATCTGTACCTGTATAGAAGAAACCTGCACTTGCTAACTCTACTGGGGTCTGTGTTTTTGGCCAATTGCCAAAAGATGAGAGTCTTGCATTATAGTCTGAATATATAAAATCATTATGACCTTCTTCTGCATTGCTACATTGCTGAGAGGATTGTATATTGGATGGCTGTCCTTGTTCTTGGATTGGTGTGGACTACAATTTAGAAAAAAAACATTGGACATTACTATACATTTAGAATCATATCTTGAAAACTACATCATCAAGGTATATTTTTCTTAGCCGTCTTCAGTGCCAACCATTCATCTTTTCCTCTTTGCTGTGTGTATGTTTTAAAAGGGGGGGGAGAAAGACCCATGCCCCTGTATATAAACTGCTTTGCCGAGCGCAGAGGTCCAACCCTGAACAGTTGGGGCAAAAATGAACACAATATTCGCGCTTGATACAGGTCTGAATTTCTATTGTAATTAAATATTTGACACATTGTAGGTTTCTGACACAGAATAAATGTAGTCAAAGAACTTGAAATTGATTATATGATTTGAATTTATATTCAATTGAAGATTTCTTGCTTTTGTGCAATACACTGTGCTGTTACGCAATACTTAGTAAATCTGTTTTCATACTATATACAAAGAATTAGCAAAATATTTTCTTTGGAAAATTGACAATTTCTTAAATCTTGAGGAAAAAAAATTCCCCCCTCCCCCAAAAAAATTTTTGTTTACCCTTGAAGAAATTTTCTTTTTAATTTCTTAAATCTTAAATCTTAAGGTAAAAAAAATTGCCCCCCCCCCAAAAAAAAAGGTTTTTTTACCCCCCCCCCCATTTTTTAAAAATTTTAACCCCCCCTTACCAAAAAAACAACATTTGAAGAAATTTTCTTTTTGTAAAATGTGGTACAATTTAAGAGACTCAAAATACACTTAAACACAAGTTATTGTCTGAAAACTATAAAAATGCTTGTTTTAGACCCTTTTTGGCCCCTAATATATAATTCCTGAACCGTTTGGGCAAATACCCCCAAAATGAATCCCAACCTTCTACTTCTGGTATTGAACCTTGTGGTACAATTTCAGAGCAATCAAAATACTTATACACAAGTTATTGTCCTGAATAAAGAAAAATGCTTGTTTTGGTCCCCTTTTTAACCCCTAATTCCTAAACAGTTGGGACCATCACCCCCAAAAACAATCCAAAACTTCCTTTTGTGGTATTGAACCTTTTGATTAAATTTCATAGAGATCCATACACTTAAAGGGGCACTAGCTACGAGATATAAAAAAATTATAAAAAATGATTTTTTTTGTTTAATCATTAATGAAAGTGGAATAGTGAAATAATAATTCGCTTTATGCCGCCAGTATTGTCTAATTTTATCAAAACAAGCATTCTGAGAGTATTGCATGGCAATACATAGTCCCCTACCAGGTAATATTCATTTTACTGGAACAAAATGCTAACTTGTTCTATAACTTGTCATGGTGTAAACAAAAAGTAAATATCATGTCAATATCTTCAAGCACGACTAAAAACAGTGTGGAAAACTGATTATATGAGTGAAAAAATGTGGATAGTGTCCACATGTGGACACAGATGATGCCCCCGCTTGCATATCATATAGTTATAAAGGGACATAACTGAAGAACGGTAAAAGTGACGCTACCCAAATTTGAACTTGATCTGAGTTTTGTGGTAATAAGCATTGTGTGCAAGTCTCATAACATTTGGTTTTGGCTAACTTAAGTAGAGAACAGAAACTAAAAATTCAGCAATTTTTCTATTTGTAAACACGAATAACTCTAGAACAGTTGTGTATAAGTTTTATAACATTTGGTTGAGACAAACTAAAGTTAGAGAACGGAAACAAAAAATTCAGCAATTTTTATGTATATAAAGGGACATAACTCAAGAATGGTAAAAGTGTTGCCACCAAATTTCGTACTTAATCTGTATTATGTAGTAATAAGCATTGTGTATAAGTTTCATAACATTTGGTTGAGGCAAACTAAAGTTAGAAAACGGAAACAAAAAATTTGTACTTGATCATAGTTTTGTGGTAATGAATATTGTGTATAGTTTTCATAATGTTTGGTTGGGGCAAACTTAAGTTACAGAATGGAAACTAAAAATTTTGCAATCTTTCGATTTATAAAGGGGCATAACTCAATAATGGTTAAAGTGACACTACCCAAATTCAACTTGATCTGTGTTTTATCAGTGGAAGTCAAAATTAAACATTGCATTATAAAAAACATTGATTGTAGTTGATTCAACTATAATCATGGACAAAGGAAGATAACTCCAATTTTAAAAATTACTTGATATTTAGAAGAAAATAAAAATTTTGCAATTTTTCCATTTCTAAAGGGGCATAACTCTAGAACGGTTAAAGTGATGCCACCAAAATTCAAACTTGATCTGTGTTTTGTGGTAATAAGCATTGTGTATAAGTTTCATAACATTTGGTTGAGGCAAACTAAAGTTAGAGAACGGAAACGAAAAATTCAGCAATTTTTCCATTTGTAAAGGGGCATAACTCTAGAACGGTAAAGGTGACGCCACCAAAATTCAAACTTGATCTGCGTTTTGTGGTAATAAGCATTGTGTATAAGTTTCATAACATTTGGTTGAGGCAAACTAAAGTAAGAGAATGGAAACGATAAATCCAGCAACTTTCCATTTGTAAAGGGGCATAACTCTAGAACAGTAGAAGTGACGCCACCAAAATTCAAACTTGATCTGTGTTTTGTGATAACAAGCATTGTGTATATGTTTCATATCATTTAGTTGAGGAAAACTAAAGTAAGAGAACGGAAACCAATTTTGGGACGTACGTACGAACTTAATGCCCCCTCCGCTACGGCGGGGGCATAAAAAACATTAGATATGATTAATAGTTCTCTGAAATTAGATATGATGTAATACAGTGTATATCTATTTTCAAATTATAATCAAATATAATTAATAGTTCCAAATATTTTTTTCTTTCATTTGTCACAAACTAATATAGATTTGTAACTTATCTATAAAATGTCAACTACTTTTGTCTACACAATGTAATGTATTGAAATATATACATTAATAAAAATAGATTATTATCTAATTAACATGATTAAAGGATTTCTCTTCATAATTTTTTTTATAGATATAGCATTCAGAAAATTAGTTTATACTAAATAACAAACAAACCTGCCGAAAAATTCTTCAAATAATTTAACAAAGAATGTCTTTTAAAAAATGAGTTATCTCCCTTTGTACAGAAATATGGTTTAACATAGTACTCTAACATAAGATATGGTCTAGAGTTATGGTCCATAACTCTGGACTAAATCATCAGACCGGAACAAAATTCGAACTTGATCTATAACTTGTCATGATAAAACTATATACCAAATATTAAATCAATATCTTCAAGAATGAAGAAAAAAAGTGTGGAAAGCTGATTTGCCAGACTGACGGATGGACAGACGGACAGATGGACAGACGGACAGACGGACGGAGTGCAAACCTAAAGTCCCCTTCGACTTCGTCGGTAGGGGACTAATATGCAAATAAATATTGATGATGAATTATTCACTTGCAAGTGAATAATTCGACCTCATTGAATCCGTATTCATGTGAACTTCAATTTAACCCCTTAGATAGAGTTGGATAACGCATGAATTGTGTGCATGTTTGATTATTTAAAGGAAAAGAATGTCAACATTGAAAGTAAACAAAGGTAATTCATTTAATTGACTGATTTGATCCTCAAAAAAATCATCGTTATACAGGTAAAAATGATGATTAACATATATTTTTAATCTATAAATGAAATTAAATAGACCTAGAAGAATCCAATTGCACGAGTTGCGCTATCTATTTATGTCTTTATTTATGTTTATATCCCTTATATGGGCATCAGTGGTTTTCAGGAGGTCAACTCAACAGTTAATTAGATGGCATCTAGACTAAAATACACACAAAACGAAGCTACATATTATCGACCCTATGCCCTGTAAACTGTTTATTTTAGATTTTTTTTATAATATGGATAAATTAATTAAAATTTGCAAATTTTTCGTGTATTATGTTTGTTGTCCTTACCAAGTGACCACTATGTATATGTAGGAGGATCAGAAAGATCTCTCAATGATCGAATCACAAAACACATTGCAAAATATAATAGAGATAAATCACTATAACCACAAGAAGAGAGGATTGTACTTTGGATGGCTGGCCTTCTTGGATAATAGTGTGGACAAAAATTTAGAAAAAAAACATTGATACAAAAGGTATTGGACAAATTAATGAGAGAAGATACATTGAAGCACAGTGATTGTAAAGAACAGCTTAATACAGTTAATTTATTTGGAGTTAATATCAAAAGTGATTAGCAGTATTTTAACTTAAATTCATACAATAAAAAATAAGATTAGGTCATGTTAATGTGACATCACGCTATTATTACCAATGATCTAAATTTCTACAGTTAAATGCTTGTGAAAGGTGACTGGTCTGCCATATAGTTTACAGAGATTACAGAGTAACTAAAATTGTAATATATTGGTTATGCCGACGAAAAATGCACACCTTCTTTGCAACTTCTTTGAGGCGAGACAAAAACTGTTACATAGGGATGTCATATATACATAGGTATACTAAGATCTATTTAAAATAATCTTCACTGATCTTGTTAAACATATTTCATAAAGAGATACATATATTTGAAAATAAGTTAAAATCCATTTTCACAATTAATAGGTCACCCATATTTGCAAAGATTTCCCCTCTAACCGGTGCTAGGGGCCATCTTGAACTTGCAGTGTCAGAGGTGCGAGTTTTTCTTTGCTTTTCCATGTTGAGGCTTCATAGTGACTTTGAGATGAAGAACAGCAATAAAAGTACTGTAGCTATGCTTTTGTGTGATTTTGCCGTTCATGTACAGATTTTGTTTCATGGATGGATACCCCATATCCTTTGTTTTTTTTATTATATAACTGATACCGTTCGAAAAAAAAATGTATTTCTAAGGGTAATTTACAAACAAATTATGAAGTATGATTTTTTATTTATCTTTTTTTCTAGACCAAGTTTACTCCCAACTGGTCAATCTGTTTCAGAGGTAAAGAGGTTTCAAAATCTAAACGAATAACAATTCCAAGTGTTGGCACACTGGCCATTTGGAAGGGCTACACATATTAAGCAACTTACCAATGCCAATGAACTATAACCAGTATCCAATAAACTACTACTTCTGAATGGTGTACTAGGCCTCCCCTTCGTTCTTGTTTCCTCACTTCTTGGTTCATCTTGAATTTCCACATTTGGAGACCTTCTAATCCCAATAGAAGGACAGTTAACATTTGCAGACCTGATTTCCACGATTCCACTACATACAAAATGACAGGTTGGAGATATTTGTCTGTGGACTTCCATTAGATCCCTATTGCTGTGATTGTCTGTCCAAATAATACCACATTTAAAACATTTACACTGTCCACCGTCAAAATAAAATCCAGCTGCTGCCAGTTTTATGTAACTGAAGTTCGGAAGAAAATTTGGAGGACATTTTGAGAAGGAAAAAAAGCGAGCATTTTCCAGTTCGTAACATCTATCAATTGTCATACCCATGGAAAGGCGTTGATTAAACTCCACTTGTGAATAGTGAAAGGAGCTCATCCTTATTCCATATAAAGTTTATCTTCAGCACCTGAAATAATGTGTCTAAAATTATATATGGCTCATAAAAAATTATACAATATTTTGTTACAGTTTGTCCAATATTAGGAAACAATTAAATCAATGATTTACATAAAATTTAAAACTGATCACAATAATGCTGTGATCACATAATATACAAGTCGTAGAAATTAAAAGTATATTTTTTAAATGTCTAAATTCAGAAAATGCCGGTAACATATATAAGTGTGACCCTTTACCCTTAGTACAAAACCCTCCAAATATGACATCGGTTCAAGGTTTTCACTAAGGCTAAATAAAAATAGTACTTGTTTTACTGCTAACCCTTCCAACACTTATTTTAGGGCCTACCCAAAATTTTTTTTTGTCATTTTTGATAAATCACTATCTAAGTCACTTGGTTTCCCTTGTTAATTCAGTTGAAACATTTTGGAAAATAAAAGTATTTGCCTACCTACCTACACTATTTTTTTCATCCTGTTAGCAGAAACGTGGGAATTATTTTGTTAGGTCTTACCAAAAAGTTTAATATTATTTTGTCATCACTCTAATTTCTTTATATCAAATGACTCTCAATATCTTTATTATGATTACACAAATAGGAAATTGAAGTCCAACCATTATTTTTACATACATTTTAATTATTCAACATATTTGTGCATTTAAAGATGTTGGTTCATGTTGATGTGACATTTTCCTCCCAACTAACTTCCATGATTTTTTATTCCACAAGTTTATATTATCCTCATCAGTTCAGTCTTTACTAGGTGAATTTCAGTTTCTCTAAATCTACTATTCGGTTTTATAAATGACATCCGTTTAGGTTTTCACTAAGGCTAAATGAAAATACTACTTGTTTTTAATGCAATGGAAAAGTTGTATACATGTACATGTATTTGAGAATAAACAATTTGTTGCTGATTTTTTTTTTATTGTGAAAATCATATCACTGAAGATGATAAAATGAACTTGTGGAATGGATGTCATTTATAAAAGTTGATGTTCAAGTGTTTTGGTTGTTCTGTTCAGGCCATATTTTTATTTTTCTCTTTGTGAAATCTTTTTTTGTAACATTTGTATTTGGTTTCTTTAGTTGCTCCACTGGCATACCTGATAGAGGTTATTCAGTTTGACATGCACACTGAATCAATATCATTGAACAGGCTCCTTAATCATGATCATTCAACCATAAAATTTTGGTCACACCATTTTGTTGACATAAATATTAAATAATATAAATAATGATGTTTCCGCTGATAGTTGATATGGAATAAATTTCATATAATTTAAACTTATATGATAACCAAAAGCAAAACTGATGAACTGACACCAGTGCAAAGGGACATTCTGACTTGAAAACTATTCATGCCTTGCTTTAGCAGGATTCACATTAAATATGCTAATTCCTAAACAAGTGTATTAATCTCAAGGTTGTTTAAAATAACAAAATACTTAGATCTTCTTTTAGATCATGAGTATGATTTGATAATCAGTCCTTTACTGACAAAAAATCCATGTTACGGGGGAGGATGTGTTGCACAGTCATGTTTTGTTTTAAATCAGATATATAGTATGCTGTATGATATCATATAAACAAAAACAAAACATAAAAAAGACAAAAACAAAAACAAATACAAACACGTGAACATCAATAAATAGGTCAAGTTTAGTTTTATTTTATCTGTATATATCCTTTTACCCATATAAGAAAAAAGTTTTAACAAGGATGACATTCACATATATAGAAATTTTTCAGAAAATATTTGAAAAAATAAATCAGTTTAGAGACAAACCAGGCAACTTACCAGGTCATACTGAAGACCGCTATAGTCCCCCGACAAGTAACTTCTGGTAATGTGCCAACCCAGCAGACATGCGCACTTAACTACTCAAAATACAATTCAAGTAGATAAAGGAAATTTATTAAATATCTGACTTTTGTGAATAACATTTTTTTATTATACTTATTAAAGGTTTAATAAATATCTAAACAAAAAGATCCTATTCATTTAAGTTTAAAAAATTTAATAGATAGTACATTCAAAAATATAACTTTTTTTTGTCTTTTGATGGATCAAAGGATTAAAAGACTGCGACTTTGTGCTTAAACAATCATTTTTAGCAATCCTTTTTACACATTAATGGTATTCCCAAATGGCTTTTTATTACAGAATATTAAAGAAATAAATGGGGAATGTGTCCATGGGACACAGATGATGCCTCTGCTTGCATATCATATAAAGTTATAAAGGGACATAACTGAAGAACAGTAAAAGTGACGCTACCCAAATTTGTACTTGATCTGAGTTTTGTGGTAATAAGTATTGTGTATATGTTTCATAAAATTTGGTTGAGGCAAACTAAAGTTAGAGAACGGAAACGAATAATTCAGCAATTTTTCCATTTGTAAAGGGCATAACTCTAGAACAGTAAAAGTGACACCACCAAAATTCAAACTTGATCTGTATTTTGTGGTAATAAGCATTGTGTATAAGTTTCATAACATTTGGTTAAGGCAAACTTAAGTTAGAGAATGGAAACCAACTTTGGGACGTACGTACATACAGACGGACAAGGGTAAAATTTTATGCCCCCTCCACTATGGAGGGGGCATAAAAAACTATAACTGGTCTTTGACTGCTGCATATTTAGAATTTCATATTTATAAGTACTGTAAGAAAAAATTACTAAATACTACCTCCCCCCACTACATCAACTAAATGTTATTTTGTAGACAGGCATTCTATCCATACTCGTGATAATGCCAAGCATGATTTTTTTTATCCTCCATACATTCAAATCTTATGACCCTAACTCACTTTGTATATCTAAATAAGAAAGGTATGTTCTTAAACTAGTATGACCCTCAAATATGTATATATATCTACAGCTCTGTTATCTAAACCAGTTTAAAATTATACCATATTAAAGGTTACAAATATGTTTTCCTTTTCCAAGTCTATAAGATGAAAAAATAATGTATAAACAAAACACTGTTTTTCCTTTTTAACTTTCAAAGTGTTTGTGACTTAATACTAACCAAAATAATATGTTTTAGTAATAAGAAAATCACAATTGAGGAAAAAGACAAAATGAACTGAATGAGAGGCTAATGGAGCCTGATTTCTTACATACAACTTCCAAATAATATATGCCATGTTAACAGTTTTTTCATCTGATCAGCAATAAAAAAAAATCAGAAAGAAATACTTATCAAAGTAAATAAGTAGTTAATCAAGTTATCATTGAATACAACTAGAAGTTTTAAGTCCCTTCATGTATTATTCCAGATTAGTTCAAGGAGTTGAAGCTGTCTCAAGTTATAATACAGGAACAGCATAAAGTGCAATCAATCAAGGATTTTAACTCTTGAATGGCAAAAGCTAAAATGGTCAACAGGGGCGTAGCTACCCGGAAGCATGACAGCACGTGCATCCACGTCGTTTTCACCAAAAAAAAAAAAAGAGGAGAGAGAGAGAGAGAGAGAGAGAGGGGGGGACAAAGTTAACTTATAGGAATTGGTCTTTCTATGTATGTACTGGAAATCTGTACTGTTTTTAACTTTTAAAAACTACATAAAGAATAAAAGCAAAAGGAATAAACATGCAGCTGTAGTCCCGTAAGAAAGACATGTATGTGTACGATAAATACATACAACTGGTGTAAACATAGTGGAACTTTTTATCTTATGGACATTGTTTAGAAAAACAGCTACATAATTGTCGGTACCACCACCATAATGTATACTAGCCTTGAGTGCAAAAAACAACATATAATCCCTTTAGGGTTAACAAAAAAACTTGAAAATTATTATTTTCCGCTTCGCCCAAAAGCACACATCTTACTAGAACGAAGACTCTTCAACTTGTATCGATCCGGGAATAACGACTGTTACCTTGTGAACTAGTTCAAAAATTGAACAAGTATGTAGGTCTTGACAACACGAATACTTCATTTTCACATCACGTCAACGTATTCTCGTCCTGGTGTGCATGTAATATTTGCTACTGGACATTAATAACCATTCAATCAATCAATAGTTTCCGTAAACTAATAGACGAGAAGTTGGAACTGCTGTTATTATAAAAAAAAAGTACACATTTCCAGTACATGTATTACGTTTTTTTATTTATTTTACAAAAAAACATCTTGTATACTGAACTATTTGGTCATTCAATTTTATAATGAATTTTCTGTCCAAGTCGGACACTAAACTGTGGATTCTTGTTCAAACGAAACACCAAACTTTTAATACACGTCTCTTCACTGTTATCATCTAGATATTGCAATACAATTTGTCGAATGCATATGTATTTGTTAATTAGCTGGATAATTAACAAACGCAGATCATGAAAAGATCGTGATCAAAGTACCATTCTCTCTGAAAAAGTTCCTTAATTTCAACTTCGAGAATTCCTAACTGCGTAAAATAAGAAATTCCTATCTCTCTCTTGTAGAGTTTACCCACAGAATTTTTAAACATCAAAATACATATGTTCAGCAAAATATTGGAGAATGTCTCCACCAAGTATTTGGTATCCAAAGATGTTTATGCTAACAAATTCCACATATAGTATTGTGTTTATGTTTTTTTTTGTTTTTTATCCATCTTCTTTGCTCAATACAAGTACTAGCATATGGAACAAACATCCGTGATTTTAAAAGCTCTCATGGCGTACAAAAAAGGCAAACGGCAATGTTTAGTCTTCATTCGACTAGAAGTTAAACAAATAGTTGACCAAAAAACCACAACAAAAATATGCAAGTTTTATTACGGTTGTGATTGTTTTGAAACGCTATATATGCGGATTTTCTGGGGGCTTTGCCCCCCTGGCCCCCCTGGCCCCCCTACCAGAGCTTTGCCCTGGACCTACTGGGGGTCTTGGGCAGCCCCCAAACCCCTCGCCCTTTAGTTTGTGATTCCACTTCATTACGAAGGTAGCTACGCCCCTGGTCAATGTCAAATTAGACCTCTATTTTGTGATGTAAAAATTGAAAAGGATTGGTTAAACAGTTCTAAGTTATTGCACCAAAACCGTTGGAGATGACCACCCACCCAAATTAGTGGGTATTAATTTCATTATCTATACTGTCATAATCCAAAAGGAGTTAGTTTGTATCATTATTGTAACTTTAGTTTTGGTCAAACTTTTTATAATCATAACAGCTTTTGCTACTTTGACTAAGGCAACAACTATTTATTTTCTATGGGAAGAAGCAAATGTCTTGTAATTTTGGACTTTCAAGAAAAACATGACATGAAATGTACACCCAAAAAAACACAAATAATAGAAGGACCCATTCAAATTAAAAAAGAATATAATATGCATTCTGAAAATCTCACCTTCATTTGAAAATATTTTCAGAGGATGTTAACACTCCACATCCTTTTTTTAAAATAAATGGTCCATAAAATAATTGACTTGAGTAAAGAAATAGCTGTACCAAGAAAGACAGTGATTTTCAAAATGTCAAACCTATACTTAAATTATGTGTAATAATACAAATATTAATTCACCTTCAATGAGATTAATCTTTCAAACACCTTTAAAGTCTCAGTTTCCTCTACAGATAACCACTGAACCATAAAAAAAGATAACATCTTAAAATCTGGTATAGTCTGATTATTGACATTATGATTAAGATATTAAAGATCATATTTTCATAATTTGACCATACATGATTTGGATGATTGCCACAACGCTTTTTTCGAAAAAAGATTTTTTTTTAAATTGTTACACTGACACTATCGTAAGATATATTTTAATTTTAGTAGTGTTATACTTTGCAATTGTATCCTAAATGAAAAAGGATACAATTGAAAAATATTAGAATTAATCTGAACTTTTCCAAAGCAAATTTTTATTAACAGAATTTTCACAAGATAAATGAAAAGAACAAATCATAAATTTGTTGCATCTGAAGCCCTTTCCTGGATAAAACTTTTATCAGGACCCCCCCCCCCCCAAAAAAAAAAATGAAAGCCTAAGGATACATAACTACCTACACAGGCAAAGAGCTTTAGGATCAAAGGGCCTTAAAGAATAACTAAATCCATTTAAGGTCAAAATTAAATGAGCATTGTTTGGTGATAAACGCCACTTTCAGCACTATTGGCTCTATGGTGACAGCCTGTATTTATTGGTGGAGGAACAGACAAGGGTAACACTTAATGCCCCCTCCGCTATTGTGGGGACATAAGGGCATAAAAATAAGAATGCTCATCTTGTCGTGCTAATACTCCATTCCTAGTTGAAAGTATTGGTAAACAGAAGTAGGCGTCTAGACTTACAACATCATTATTCAGGTTCAGTAGTAGATAGTACTGTATAAGTATGGGACGAAATTTTTTTAATTAATTCAATACATTTCTTTGTGTCAGACAAAAATTTAAAGTATTCGAAGTACATTAAAAAAATTTGAGGAAAATATTTGTTGGACTAACCGATGGACAAGGTGAATTTAGTAATCATTATAGCCAGCACTAGAAAGTTTGTCTCCCTAAAATAAAAAAAACTTACCAACAGGACTCTGGTATTTCAACCAGCTGTCAACTCTCTCTCCTTATTATAACCTGTTACAATACACACAATTCATCTTATTCAATGTAGTCTTTAAACATAAGCTTCACTGACATTTCCTCCACAGGTAATCACTTAAGTAAATACAGTCAAACAGATAATATTATTAAATCAATATAATTCATCAAGTTACCACAAACAAAAATTGGATTTAACTACTACATGCAATTTCTGTGTACTGGATAAAAACCAAAAAGGCCATGACACTGACAATTGACTTTTACTGTGGCAACCTTTTGTAACAAAACTTCATGGGATGGGGTTGATTTTTAAGGACAGAAGTAAACCTCAGTTTATAATAATAGATATCAACTCCCTTGAAGCAATGTCAATGTCTTTTAGTTAAAAATGATAATTAATGCAATCTCATTGAGTAGAAGACTTGTAAAATATTAACTAAATTCCATTAAAACTTTACCACTACCACGCGTCGAAATCTTCAGGGTGTTGGTTCACTTTACCCATTATAAATTCCACTATGATAAACAGGTGTTTAAATCTTTTATCTCTTTAAAACATATGACCTTTCTTTTATAATTTTCGTTTTTTGTCTATTGACAGTAAAATTACCATACAATATTAAACCACAAGTACTTTATAGTGTCTAATCCTCATAAAGTGATCTTCAAAATTCTTTTACATGGGTGTTAAAGTAACCTCTTATCCGATGTACTAAGTAGGTTTAAACACATCTATTACAGGCTACAAAGCTATTTAATTCTACCTTTTTCCTATCAAAAATGTTTTAAAGAAATAAATTACTTAGTTTCAAACATACAGCTTTTAGAGATCATTGGAGTTTAATCAAAGGGAATAATTTTGTTTTTTTTTAGAACCAGAATAACACTATTTTTTAACAACAAAATGGGAAAATAATTTTTGGCAAAATCTTCCATGCCCACATTCCAACCCCTAAATTTAAATGCCATCTGCTAAGAATTCATCACATATTTAGACAACAAGACGTAATTTGCTGATCTCAAGTTTGTTTATCAATCCAGATCGAATGACCCCTAGAGACTCAGCCTATAAACTATATCATTGAACTCATCTTGCCATTTCAAACAAGAAACTATACAGTTTATAGGTGGGGATCTCAATGCTCTTTAAGATATTATAAGTCTCAAAATGGCAAGGATTGGGGATTCCCACAGGGGATTTTTCTTATCTTTCATTCATTTCAACTTAATATGAAAACTAGAAAATCTATGGTTGAAGGGGTGGATATCTAAACCATTTTCAAAATGTTTTAATCTAGTCAAAAGGCAAGAATGGTGATGACCCTGGATGGTCCTATATTTCATTTGATATGTCTTGTGAACGGGGTCTTATAATAAAAATATTAGTGATAAAATAAGTTGAATAACACAATTTATACACACAAGAAATTTAAAACAATTTACATGTACATGTACCTATCCTAAAATAAATGGGGAATGTGTCCATAGGACAAAGATGCCCCCGCTTGCATATAACATTATAAAGGGACATAACTTAAGAACGGTAAAAGTGACGCTACCCAAATTTGTACTTGATCTGAGTTTTGTGATAATAAGCATTGTGTATAAGTTTCATAACATTTGGTTGAGGCAAACTTAAGTTAGATAACGGAAACGAAAAATTCAGCAATTTTTCCATTTGTAAAGGGGCACAACTCTAGAACGGTAAAAGTGACGCCACCAAAATTCAAACTCAATCTGTGTTTTGTGGTAATAAGCATTGTGTATAAGTTTCATAATACTTGGTTGAGGCACACTACAGTTAGAGAACGGAAACCAATTTTTGAACGTATGGACGTACGGACGTACAGACGGACAAGGCTAAAACTTAATGCCCCCTCCGCTATGGCGGGGGCATAAAAATGTATAGACAAAGGTGACTGGTCATGTAGATATCAATAGACTTACAGATGATCAACCCTTTGTCTTACAAAACGATTTTACTGGAAACTAAACTTAACTTGCATTTTTCTATTTATTCTTCAGAAGGATTTTAATAGGATTGTTTACCATTAAAATTCTTGATTTTCACACATTATCAAAAAACATGGCAGTCACCCCACTTCATAAACTATTTGCAGTAACCTTTTGAATTATTTGATTACTTAGTTTCAAATTGTAAAAAGGATATAGATTAAATGACTAAATGTGTTTTATCTAAATTAAAAAAAATATCAAATTTTCAACAATTATTCAGATACACTAAAAAGATAGTTAAAACTTACCTGATGGTGGTGTCTAAATAAATCAACTTGACTTTAAATGCACTTCATCTTGGACTAGTTTATTCTACAAATTAAAGTGGATGCAACATAACAGCTTAAAAATCAATAAATTCTTTATTTAAAGTTATATTCTTTATAAGTGTATACAGTTATGACCAGTTGACTCAATTTGTCACATGTAAATTTTCCCATCATATCATTATATTACGGAAGATTACACATTGCATTTTCCTTTTAATCATTACAGAAAAACATTCTTCCACTTTACTACTGTTGAAAAACAATATTTATCTATTTTTTTTAAATTAAACTATCTTGAGTGAATGGATAAATACCATAATCAACAGTATGGGGGAAAAGGGGGTGTATGGGGGTATCATTAAGGACAAAAAAGCATTTAGTTCTAACTTTCCTATTAAGATGGTGATGTTCCTCTTGTTGCATCCATGGCATGTAAATTTGTGCAGTTTGCTAGAATATTTTGTGTATTCTAACTTTATTCATAACCTTCCATTAACACAATGTGTTACTTAACTACCAAATTTTAAAGCATAATATCAAAACAAAATTTGATCATGTTCAGCATCTTATCTGTAAATATAATGTTTCTCATAAAGAAACAAATTAGCAGTATTTCTCATCCTCCTGTTTATTGTCATGTCACTAATAGAACTAAAACACTGAACAATTATATATATATAAACTCAGAAAAGATCTTCCATTTAATTTATCAATGTCAAAGGTAACAGTTGTGATATTTTAAATAATTCTTTCTTCCAATGGTCTGACAATTCTTAAACAAAATGGCCTCCAACTTATACTACCAATTTCAATTCAATTTTATGATGAGATTTCAGGAAACCTGTTTGGAGTGTTGTTTTCTGATTCATTTGGTTTTTCTTTTTGAATGGCATTCAACCATTATCTGTGTTAAAATTAGCAAGCAGATTTTGACCTTGCTTTCCAAATTATAGAGGCCATCTTTTAGTTCGCTGTGCAATTTTACTAAGGAGGGATTTTGTTGTATGTTCTTAATTTTAACCAATATGCAAGGTATTTGCTTCAGTCACATTTCTGCTACAGGTAAGCACTCAGTAAATACACAATAAAAAATCAATTCAACAAGTCTTGTGTTATCCACAAAACAGATTACCATGTTTACTTTTCATAATGATTTATCTTACATGTACAGGACCAAAACCAAAATGGTTTTTTTAGAAGACCATGACATTAATAATATGACACTGATAATTGATTTGTATTGTGTTTTTTTATCTAAGAGACTGTAAGGGACAACAATTAGATACTATTGGAAGGGGGGGGGGGGGATAATTGTGTACAAAAGTGAAAATATTTTGCCATAATAAAATATTACCCCCTCCCCATAATAAAACCACCATGTTTGCATCACCTTATTATGTAATTAGTTCAATATTTCCAACTCACAAATGTGTCAATTACGCTATTTTTGTCATTTTTGAAGACAATCTAACTTCAGCTATCTTTCTAATGTCAACTTTCAGATATTATTCATCATGTTCATATGTTATATATCTAAGCAACAACAGTGCACACGCTGAAATGTCTCGCCTTCTTTACTAACCATTGATTTTATGTTGATAGTCCTAAATATAAAACTTTACTACAAGTAACACATAAACTTAACATGATCCAAGAAAATGAGGTCATGGTCAGATAATCCAAACGAGAAATACATGTACACCTTACAATCATTCAATAAACCAAACATAGTTGACCTATTGCTTATAGTTTCTAAGAAACAGTCTTAACCAAGAAAACTTAACATTGACCAATGAACCATGAAAATGAGGTGAAGGTCAGATGATACCTGCCAGACAGACATTTACACCTTACAATCCTTCCATACAACAAATATAGTTGATCTATTGCTTAAAGTTGAAGAAAAACAGACCAAAACAGAAAAACTTAACACTGAGAAATGAACCATGAAAATGGGGTCAAGGTCAAATAAAACCTGCCAGACTGACATGTACATCATAAAATATTTCCATACACCAAATATAGTTGTCCTATTGCATATAGTATTAGAAAAAAAGACCAAAACTCAAATACATAACTTTGACCTCTGAACCATGAAAATGAGGTCAAGGTCAGATGACACCTACCAGTTGGACATGTACACCTTACAATCATTCCATATACCAAATATAGTAGACCTACCGGTACTGCTTATAGTATCTGATATATGGACTTGACCACGAAAACTTAACCTTGCTCACTGATCCATGAAATGAGGTCGAGGTCAAATGAAAATTGTCTGACGGACATGAGGATCTTGCAAGGTACGCACATACTAACTATATTATCCTATTACTCATAATAAGAAAGAAATTAACATTACAAAAAATGTTGACTTTTTTTTCAAGTAGTCACTAAATAATGAAAATGAGGTCAAGGACAATGGACATATGACAGATGGAAACTTCGTAACATAAGGCATCTATATACAAAGTATGAAGCATCCAGGTCTTCTAGCTTCTAAAATATAAAGCTTTTAAGAAGTTAGCTTAAGTCGCAGGCTCGACAAAAACCACCTCTTTTTGTAATGCTACATTTTTTAAGCCAAAAGGACCCTTATCACACCTCTTCATATGCAGTTATAATAAAAATATTGGTGAAAAAACAACTTGAATAACATAATTTATACACATTAGAAATTTTTAACAATTACATGTACCTGAGGTAGTAAAGACATATATAACCTGTCATGTAAAGATCGATAGACAAGTTTTGGGAGAATCAACACACAAACCCTTGATCTTACAAAGGATTTTACTGGAAATTAAACTTTACTGGAATTTTACCATTACTCTTCAAAAGGATTTTAATAGTAGATTCACTTACCATTAAAATCGATCATTGCTTCTCACAAATCTCAAAAATGAATCATATAAATCATTACAGTCATAAACTATTTGCAGTAGCCGTTTGAAATATTTGGTTACGGTACAAAGTTTCAAATTATACATGTATTGCATTATTTAATTGTGTATTTGTGTAAAATATTTATACTCAGATTCACTTATAAGATGACAAACCACCTGTTCAAATTTTGATCCTATTGTGTAAGTCAATCTACTTGACTTTCCATGCATGGTGATGATTAGCTTGGGTTAACTTAAGTTTATTCTACCTAGTGGGTGTGACAGTATGAAAAAGCACTACAAATGTGATTAACATTAAAACCAATAAATCCACTATCTACTGTACTAGTTTTATTATAAAACATTGTTAACTTTGGGCAGATAATTTCTTTAAAACAGATTCTTTAAACATTTAAACCAGTTCTGATCAGTTTGACAAATTTTGATCACAACTTAAGTCATATTAATTAAATTTGTTGTATATAATTTACCACCATATCTTTAAAGACCATTGCACTTTGAATTTTCCTTTAAATCGTTAGGGAAACAGACTCTACCACTTTACCCTGTTGAAAACAATATTTATTCAGTTTCGATAGTTAAATTTTCAATTTTTCAAATTTTTAACCTATCTTGAATCGCTAAAAATCATTAATCAATAGACTGGGGAGGAAGAATCTATACTTATAATAACTTCTATATTGATAATAAAGGATAAAAGTGAGGATTTTAAATTTCGACATAACAAACTTCCCTGTTTATTTGGCGATATTCCTCTTATTGCATCAATAATTATTTTCAGCTAGTACTGTTTGCTAGAATTTTTCTAATGAAGCTGACTTTCATCATAACCTTACATTTTTATTAACACATGTAACTTATGAATAATTTCAGATAATCCACCCTTCCAGAGCAGCACCTGGAATCACCGGAGTTTTTTGTAGGGTTCATGTTGCTTAGTCTTCATTTTTCATGTAGTGCTTTGTAAACTAGTTTGTCTTTTCATTGTCATTCTATTTTGGCAGTGACATAGTCAGTTTATCTTTGACTAATGAGTTTTGAATGTCCCCTTGGTATCTTTTTCCTGTTTTTTTTTCTATAATATAATGTGATGACTTACCTGTTCAAAAACTTATCCTGAGATCTAAGCTCAGCAGATTGGAATAGTTTTTTTCTACAAAGAAGATGAAACTTTATTATAAAAAGCCCACTTAAATGGGAAAAATTAAATAAATCAATAAATAAATAATAAATCTGCACATGATTTTAATCACATATCAAATAGGTGTTATACAAACAGATGAGTATCTCTTTAAACCATTTGACATCTCTTTATTTACCTAGGAGTTAAAACTTATTAAAAACCTTAAATATTGACAAAACAATAACTTTATCTAACAACAAATATTTAAGAAATGTAGACAATTTTATACATACATTTAATTACTTTATAGATAGTTGTGTGTTAATGTCATAATCTTGATTTGAGACCTTTATGGCCTTTTAATAATGAAATATAAATAAAATATAATGACTGAATAGTACTGACTGATGTATCATCAAAAGGAGAACAAATTAACATTAAATCCAATAGGTAGGTTCTGTTAAGTTGTTCAACTAGGATGAAGTGCATAAATTTCTATTCACTGGGAAATGAGGGGATGTTGGATAGGGGCAGACAATTAGCCTTGCAAAAGGCCACTTTGTGGAACCCTCAAAGTTGTTGCAAGTGTTTTTGATGTGCAGAGAGGGTAGCACTCTCCATACATGAAAAATTCGTAAGGGTTCCGCGGAACCCAGTGTCTCGCCTACTTTTGCTGTTAATCGCCGGCTCAACAAAAATGAGGAAAAAAATTAATAAAAATATTCCTCTCTATACTATCTTTTGATTGTAAGTAGCTTCTGTCCAATTTTGGTAAAAATCCAGGATAGTTTATGAATATAATAAATGTTTTAAAAACTTAAACTGCAGACTGTATGTAATGTTAACTGGAAGAAAAACTAAGTCCATTTTTAAGTAAAATACGGAAAAAATGGAACAAAATTTTAACAAAATTTCCTTCTAGATACTAGCTTTTAATCATAAACAAGCTTCTGTCCAAGTTTGGTACAAATCCAGGATAGTTTAAGAAAGTTGTTAAAATTTAAAAAAACTTTAACCACAGAGTGAATGTAATGTTAAGTGGCAGAAAAACTAAGTCAATTTATAAGTAAAATACGGAAAAAATGGAATTTTTTTTTTTACAAAATTTACTTCTGGATACTATCTTATGATCATAAACAAGCTTCTTTCCAAGTTTGGTAGAAATCCAGGATAGTTTAAGAAAGTTATTAAAATTTCAAAAACTTTTAACCACAGAGTGAATATTTGTGGACGCCAACGACGACGCCGACGGAATGTAGGATCGCTATGTCTCGCTTTTTCGACAAAAGTCGAAGGCTCGACAAAAATCAGATTTATAACAGGAATATTAGGAAATCATTTCCCATCATTTATTTTGTAATATAAACTATACTTGTAACTGGATTTCATTTGTAATCTAGGACTAATATATACAATGAGTGATATCAGGAGCTGCTCCAGAAGGGTAGTTTATCTGAAATTATTCATAAGTCTTTGTTACCTTTAACCCTGTAAATTATAGGGTTTTTTCTTCAAAAAGTTATATGTTGTTGATACATAAATTTCTGTTTTAATGATGTAAAATAATAATAGGGTCACCGACTTCGTTTTCACAGTATACTTCATTCAAAGTGGTGTTCTAGGAGAAACACCACAAAACGTCTAAATAAGCGTAATGTCACTGCTTTATAAGCTGTAAAATGTAGATTTTGTCGATTTTATGTGCTTTCTATACAAATCCTTATATATTTTGAAAGAATTCAGAATTTCAGAGAATAAAAGAGATAAATGCATTATTTTTTCGATTTTCAGTTTAGTTCAACAAGCCAAAGTCGTATGCAAAATTTTACAAAATCTGCACATAGCACATTTAATGTTCATTGACCTTATCTCCATCTTAGCATTTAGATGTGCCCATTCTGCCAAATGACCCCAAAAACATTTCAAATCGGAAAATCCTATTTCCTGAAATAAAGCAATGGTCTAGTCCTTGCTTGAGTAAGGGAAATCCTGAAATAAAGCATCAATTTTGTATGTAAAGCTATTCAGCGTAACCCATATATCTAACATTCAGACTTGAAGCAGTTTCAAAATTTTGTAATCAATATACTTACCCAGTTGTTTTTAATATCAGGTTAGCTGAATTATCAAAAAATGCTACAGATAGTCCCAGGATAGCAAATAATACTGTTAGTACTGTAAAAAAATCATCCTCAACCTCTATTGGCACTTCAGCTGTAAAAAGATGTTACTTTTTTAACCTAATATCTTTAGACTTAAATCACTTTTTTCTCACTAAATATAGATCATAATAGTAAAATTCAAGTTGTACTGTTCAGGTAGATGTATGAAGATAAAAATTCACTGAATGTCAAATGTTTTACTTGTCAATGTATAATCCATGAATCTACAATATTTGACATTTCTTTATACAATTATCAAAATCCTTCTGGTTAAAGATACTTCCAGCATTTAAAAAAACAAGTTATAACTCTACGGCCATACTGTTCTTATAGTAAACTGTTGCATGGTGTAAACTGGAACTACTCTCTGATTGGCTGATGAGTGATCATGACGTGAAATATATACTATTATAAATATGTTTATAGTAAACTGAAGTATAGTGTAAACCGGAACTACTCTCTGATGGGGTTAATCTAGCATTAAAATAATTACACACACTATAAAACAAAACAATAGCTATGTGACAACGCAAAATCAATTATCTTTTTAATTTGTTTGTTTTAAAAACCTAAGGCACACTCTTCTCCTTTTGATTGACAGCCCTGATATGGGGTTTTGTAAACTTAAGTGGTTATAATACAAGTTCAAGTTCAAAGTTCAAAAGCTTTATTTATAGAACAAATGTTAGTATACATGACTAAGTGTTAAAAACTTGAACTTTTTAGTGAGGAAAACCTTCTGTGAACTGAATTTAAGTCATTTACTGTGTCAGGAAAATATGGATACTAATTATGTTGTAAAACATTTTATGTCAAAATTACACAATTATAAACATGTTGATAATTGGAGCCCTTTTTTACATTCTGATAAATCTATATCGGGTAGTGGCACCAATAAGCTACGAACTTACAAATTGTTTACAGAAAATTTTGAACCTGAAGAATACTGTAAAATAGCTTTGCTTTTCAGTCACAAAACTGCTTTCGCCAAATTTAGATGTGGTGTTGCCCCACTGAGGATTGAAACTGGGAGATACGAAAATATTGTTTATATTATGTTGCTGAAACTTTGAATGAAAATTTTAATACTTTAGATGACAACCAAAAGTTAGTGTTTTTATTCTCAGATGTAAATATGATACCTGTGTGTGCCAAAACCTGTTATTTGATTTTAAGAAGACGTAGAAATTTTATATATTGTAAATAGTTTATTATTTCATATTGTTTAATGTAGTATATCTATGCATTTTAATAGTCTCTTATAGTTCTGAAAGAATTGCTTTCATTTCATTTAGTATTATTTTACAATTTATAAATATTGATTGTACTTGTTGAGAGATGAGACTTTAATAAAACTTTGAATTGAATTGATCATACATTTCTTTCCAGAACTCAAAATTATTCCAGATTCATATAATTTCTTGTCATTACATGAAGCATACATATAAGATATCAAGAGTCCAATACTACAGTAGACCTTGCATCTAGAATCTACCTTTTGCATTTCACTGATAACTTGTTCAAGTTCTTAATATGCATGAAAGATTTGTCACTGGACGTGAAGTAAGTAAGAATATATATCGCAAATAATGTTCCATTAATAATTGTTGTAGAAGTGGATCAGGATAACCACATATATCAAATTATATATACTCTTTGTGTTCCCATTAAATGGAAATAAAACATCTTCTTCTTCTACAAAATGAATATACAGCCTAGTTAATATATAGATTTATTACTTTGTTTACAGTACACTGCACAATTATCCTATCACTACAAAAGTCAAAAAGTCTGAAAAGACCAGTTTTTGTCTGAATTTGCATGAATTTTTACTCGACATTCTTAATTTGTCTAAATAATTTTTAAAAATTCTTGACATAGTATGAATTTGTCTAATAAGGTTCTTGATTTTTCTTGACAAGTGTCTTGACAGTATGAACATTGTCTTAAAATTTCTCGACACTTCCTGTATCATCTGATAAGAGTCTGGATTAGTCTCGACCAATTCTTGACTGTCTTAAATTTGTCTCGATCTGTCTTGACATATTCTTGACATTCTTAATAATGTCTGAATATGTCTCGACATATTCTTGACATTCTAAATAATGTCTGAATATGTCTCGACACATTCTTGACAGTCTTAAATATGTCTTGACACTATCTCAACAGTATAAATTTCGCCTGAAATGTGAACAGACTTATTCTGCACTGTTTATGACATTATATTGCTGTTATATACTCCTTTTTATTATGGCTAAACTAAACTTTGAAGAATCAAGGATTAATTTGGTATAGTAAGATACCCTTTTGGTGCAACTAAGTTGGAATACCCTGAATAATCCCCCATGTAATTTAATTTAATTTTGATTTATTTTTATTAAACATTTAAGTAATTGTTTTCACTAGGAATATAAGTCGAAGGTATTGACAAACTTTTTGTCCTATCAAATTTGTGACTTTATGTCCTGTGACTTTTTGTCCTGTGACTTTCTGTCCGTTTACCTTGACAAACAACATTTAGATTTTTGCCGTTCGCAAAACTGCCAGTCAAATTTGCTTGACTAAAATAGGGGTCTTGTATCTCTTTTGGACCCCACAATTCATCTTTTGGGTTTGTGTGGCTAAAAAAAGAGGGCGGGGGGGGGGGGGGGGGGGGGGGGTTTTCGTTAAGGTCAAAGAATTTGTTCCCATCTTGATTCAAAAACCTTATTCATTTTTTAGAACAACCCAAAAACATTTTTTATTCAAATTTGAGTGTTGAATTTTATAATTTTTTTTATCAAAAATAAATATTTGTGATAACTCCTTCCTGAAAGGAAAAAATGTTTAGATCTATATTATGCATGTCTGTTTGAGAACCATTTCATAAGACCGATGATTTCTATAGAAATCATTGATGGAACCCATTATAAATACATTTTTTTTATTATTCCTGGAGTAGATAATAATTTTCTTTTAATCTTTGGGAATTATTCAATTTGTTTTTATGTTAAAATAATTAACTTCATAATTTTGATGAAGAAAATCCATTTCAATTCAATTTTTTTTCATCAAAATGATGATTTTCATTTTCATCTATCAACAAACTTTTGTAGTGGCATGGTCAGTCAACTGATAAGTTGTATGGCTGATTACAGGTAAAGCAATAACTTCTATTTGACAGTTGTGTGTACTCTGGGGTGTGGAATACCTTAATTTTATGGGGAACATCCTGTCCATGTGTAATACTTAATATATTCCAACAGATGACATTACACAAATTTTTCTTCTGTTAAATGAATGATTTGTATATCATCATAATTTGCTATTTATATAAACCACATTTTGGTATAATAATTATGAATATTATGAATGTAGAATGAAATATGTTTACAGTATGATTGGTTTGAATCATTTAATTTATAAGATTTAGGAATCAAAATTTGTAATTATTTAAAAACCGACATTGAAATTGTTTTATATCAACACACCCACATTTGAATTATTTTAAACTTTAGATTTCATAGCCATATTTGCATTTGTAAAAATATTTATATACCCAAATTTTCAATTATTTTACATGCCCAACTTTTATTTTTGTTGTAAAGAAGTGTAACTTGAAACAACAGTATATCATATAAAGAGAAATAAAGATTAAAGTTATATCATGAATATTGGTCATGATTTGTAAAACTCAGAACTGTCAAGTAAATTTAAGACACCATTCAAAATGTTCAGAATATGTCAAGCAATACTGAGAAAAAATAAGAATGTCGAGAATATGTCGAGAAATTTCAAGACAGTATTCAAATGTCAAGAATTTGTCAAGAAATTTTAAGACCATATTCAGAATGTCGAGAATATGTCGAGTAAATTTCATACAAATTTAATATAAATGAGAATTTGTCAAGAAAAATTAAGACACAAGTCATACTTTTGGAGAATGTCGAGTAAAAGTTCATGCAAATTAAGACAAAAACTGGTCTTTTCAGACTTTTAGACTTTTGTAGTGTATGCATGTATGGGAAAGGTCTATATTTGATTTGTATCTTTTGTATAACTATTACATGGAATCAAATTACCGTAATCATCTTCAAAAAAGAAGTGATTTGTGATCATATAGTTTCTTTTAATTTAGCAAATAGAATTTTTAGCCGTATAGAAATATTGCGTATGAGTAGTGCATGTGCATTTTATACCTAAAGCAATATCATTTACACGACAGTTGATATAGTAAAAGTATCATGTTTCAATGTAATATGTACTAAGTTCTGATGTTATCACATTTAAAAAAAGAAAAATGAAAAACAAGTAAAAAAAAACATCTTAAAAATATGTTAAATTATTGATCTGCCTTCACTGTTTGCAACAATGATTACCGAACATGAAAATATTCTTATTGAAACAGGATATCTATTGTAACTTTATGAATTAAAAGATGGACACTAGCAATAAATAACATCATGGATGACTTAAGTTGTAAAAGTTTTTAATTCAGAATAATTTACATATTATAAATTGAAGTAATATACCTGTATGTCAATATGTTTGTAGTTGTCGTTGTTGGTAAACGTTCAGCAACTAGATTCTGATGATGTTCTCAACTTCCTTGTCTGGGTTGATCTACTTATTGTCTGGACGATAGCTATACATTTTTCTTGACTTCACCTGATTTTTCCTGACTTTGAAATATCAATTTGACCCATACTACAACAGAAGCTGTTTTAACCCAAATTTTCCTCTATATGTCTGACAATATAAAGCACATAAAATTGAAAATTATTTTATACTGTACAGAAATATCAAAAGTGCAGTAAGCAATCATTATTAAAAGCATATAAAGCCGTTTAAAACACATAAGCAGTTATAGCACATTAAGTCGAAAAGCACAATAAATTAAAGCATTAATTATATGCAGGCATTGCATTTGGCATGAACTACCATTCCAGGTAACAGTAAGTTTAGAAATTGGTTAAAATTGTTTTCTCTAAAACTCGGGGGTAGTTCATTCCAAATTTTTGCAGCTCACACTGTAGCGAAAAGAATTGATGCCATAGCTTGAAGTTCTAACCTAGGGCTGTTCAACTGTATTTCTATATCTAAAGGAATATCTATGATTTTTAATATTAATGAAATCATGTAAATATGATGGACTCTTTTAAGTTTATAACTTTAAAAGTTTCTATAGCTATTGCTTGTAATCTTCTTACTTTAGAGCTCTTTTTCTAATGCTTGTAGTTTAAAGGTTTGGTTGACTTGCTTGCGTTGTTTTAAAATGTTTGCTCAAGCATTGTAATTATGATTGACATTTGCAATCAATAGATAGGCGGGGCTTCAGCTTGTATAAATTGCACTTGAATGTTATTGGATGTTAAGTATAATGCAGAGTATAATG